TCACCCATTCTCAACCCACATTCTTCAACTTTCAAAGTTTGCAAACAACTGTCCATAAATAGGTTAAACAGCCACGGGGAAGCCACACATCCCTGTCTGACACCTTTATGAATGCCAAACCAGTCCGAGTAGACCCCGTTGATCCTGACACAAGCACTAGAGTCCCTATAAAGAGACCTTAATGCCTGTATCAAGCCAGCGCTCAACCCAAATGAGTTCAGTGTTTGCCATAACACGTTCCTGTCCACTCTGTCATAAGCCTTTTCCAAGTCTAAGAACGCACAAAAAACTTTCTGGTTTTTAGCCAAAAACTTCTCCGCTATCATGCGCATGGAAAAGACTTGATCCGTACACCCCATCCCCTTTCTAAATCCAGCTTGCACATCCCAAATTTTTCCTTCAGTTTCTTCCATAACTCTTTCAATTAACACCTTAGCATACAGTTTACCCACAATGCTAAGCAAGCTGATACCACGGTAGTTTTTACAGTCCTGCTGGCCTGCTGCGACCCCTTTCCCTTATATATTGGGACTATAACGGCTTTGCACCAGTCTTCCGGTACCCGTTTCAGTTCCCAACATAAATTAAACAAGGTGTGCAGCAGGCCTGCAACCACACCCTCACCAGCCCTTAGCATTTCGAGTGATACTCTATCATATCCGGCTGCCTTACCTGCTTTCATGCTTTTCATTGCTTTCATTATTTCATCTACACTTATCTCCCTACCTCTCTCCACTTCTTCCGGAATTTCTATTTCACTTATTTCAGACGACTCTTCACTCTGAAACACGCTTTCAAAGTATTCCTTCCATCTCTTTAAATTCGAAACTTCATCATTCAGCATGCAGCAGTTATAATCTACATTGAACAAAAAAGTTTATGTTTCTGTTTCTGTCACTTTTATTACAAGGACTATTATCATGTATTATCCAACAGACACGTGTAAGGACATTCAGTTTTTATCGAAGTAAATACCATACAAATAGTTTTTATCGAAGATGCTAAGATAGTTAAAAGATACCAAAATGTATTTTAACCGTTGTTTTAACGATTAACCCAAACGACTTTTATGTCCTCTTTTGAGACGTTTTATAAACGCCATGATTCATAAATACAATTTTGTAAACATGTTATATCATATGTTTGCCACGTATAATGGTGAGTAATAAGTAAACCCGAATTAGAATTTTAAATTAGGAATGGAAAATCAGAGACTTATTCAGCAGTACTGAACATTGAACTTGGTATACATATGCATATATATACATATACATTATACACATTATATATATATATGCGGTATAGTTCGCCGACTCATATCGAACCCTACTCCATGTAGTTTACTCATTGATTTTGTCGCGTGATATCTTTGCTGCACATTGCACTTCCTCCCAAACAAACCGCAATCAATTTCCAACTCATTGTTGGTTTCTTATCATAACAACATCCTTTATAATAACAGTATAATAAGGAGTTACATAGTTATATTGTTGATCCAATGAATGAAAAAAAATTTTTTTTTAATTTATCATTTACAAGTTGAATACTAAAGCATTAATAAAATGGCATCAATAAACCACAAAGGTCTGTGGTTTATAGATTTAGGTTAGAATTTAGGTTGTATATAATGGTATCATCTACATAGATATTTTCATAGTTAGATAGAGAAAAAAAAACGTAATATTACATTAGAACAATGGTAAGTAGGAAGTACGATTTTAATTTTGTGTTAATATTTTCTCTTGTAATTGTTATTACAAGAGAAAATATTAGCATATTAGAGGGTAAGTTTTTTAATCGGGGAACTAAATAAGTAGCTGTACGTTTGCCGTAGGGTAGGTGTTATTAACACGGGTAGTATAAAACCGATCTTGTGCGACTGCTCGCGTGTATATACGGAATATTTAATTTGTTTTTGAAAATGAATAATAGATATAGAAAGAGTATCAGATGTAAACATATAGAACTAACGTCGTGTATTTTTATGGAAAGAGAACAAGAAAATACATATACCTAAATAAATTAAGTTGGTACAAGTTTTTATTTTTATAGAATAAGGGTAACAAACGAGCACACAGTCCACCTGATGGTAAGTGGATGTTGTGGCCCATAGATATCTACATTTATCCTCGATTAAGAATCAAAATGTAGATAAATTATCACACTTGAGGACTGAGATGGAATGCCTCGTTTACAGTAAAAAAGGTATCCGGTTCTACACCCACCATACGAAACTTAAGCTCCTATTTTAAGCTGGTATTCTGTGAGAGATTAGTCCTACCCCGGCTAAGCTGACCCATTCGTGCTAAAACCAAAATATAGATGCAGCACGGCTCTACCACATATAAATCTATCTTTTTTGCTGATATTAAATCTTTTTTACTGATAGTTAACCTTTGACCCTTTGAAGTAGATTATGGAATAAGACAATCTCAATTTAACAAAAAGATGTAGTCTAAGTTCACCCCTATTTTCTCTCCATAGGGATGGAATTTTTTACAAAAATTTATATGGGATTACCCCCTGAAGTTTCACTAAACCTACTTATAAAAAAATCATTAAAATGGTCGATATTTTCGTTAATTATGAACATACAAAATAAAAATAAAACTAAACTACTTATAATAAAACTATAGTGGAATTAGGAACCTTCTTTTTTGAAATATTGCTAAAAAAGATCATAACTTAAAACTCAATGTGTATCTAACGTCCTTAAATTGTGCTTAATTATATCACCTAATAAGGGAACTTATTTATCTATGTGTATACAATGTATATCCAACATATTACGTGCTTTCGTACATGACCTGTCAAAATTGCAGATCCACGTGGTTTTCACATTTTATGTCAAAATTAAAGACTTCTATATATTCTATAGATGTATAAAATGATTGCTTATTGCATATATTATAAACAACGACCGCTATAATACTAAGTATTACCTACAACCTACTCTTATCATCATTTGCATTTGATAATATACAAATTAAGGGTTATGTTAATGGCTAACCTCACCTTAAATAAACAGTGAATTAAACAGTTAATGGAATTAAAACATGTAATGAATTAGTCACAAGGGTAACCCCTTGTTTGACTCATAACATAGAACAGGAAATTAATATTGATATGAAATTATACAATAAACGTAAATATGAGTAATTTACTTAAAATTTTTTCGTGGTCACTTCGTACTCGTGACGCATTTGTTTTGTTAACGATATCTGGTGAATTAATAAAATGTCGAATTGTCTTGACTACATCCACCGTTTCTCATATTTTATAAACTCATACTCTGTACCTATTATGAATTACTGTTATTGTTTCTGTATAGTTATTTATTCCAGTTACTAATCTACAAACTATTTCATTGTTTAGCCATACCACCTATTCACGTCTGATATTTATTAGCATTGCCGTCTAATAGTGAAGCTAACTGAATGCAACGTTAATTAAAAAAAATGTTAATAAAAATTTAGAAATGCAAGCAATTGCTTGTAAATTATTTCTAATGAGAAAATTGGGACATTAATAAAAATATGAATTCAATATTATTTAAAACTATTAAAGACGTATAATTGAAATTGTAATTAAGCATATTAAGTACCTATTTAAATTACTTAAATGATCTTTTTCTAAAGGCCATAAAGCCTAAGGATATTTTGCTTGAAACTTCGTAACTTCGTTCTTCTGTGTACAAATTTTAGGCAAAGTACAAAAGTTATAATTCACATTACATTCACAAAATATTATACAATTGTTTAAAACGGACACAATCACTTCGTGTGAATCCTGTAATCTCATTAGTTAGGCAAATGAAAGTTATGATGAGATAAATTACTTCTCCAGTGAAAATAACATCACTCTCATTCATTTTTGTCTCCCACGATGATTGTGCTTCACAACGCTGAACGCTGTTTAACTAATAAATAGCATTAATTTTGTTTCAAGTTATATTTTGTTTACACTTTCACTCTTATTCTGTTAATAATATTTTATTTGTACCTATCAACTAAATTTACCGGCTGTTAATACTACACCTCTACACGATTGATGAAGTTAGCTATTCGTAAAATTAAAATACGTGCTTACTTTGCATAAAAATTGATTTTACATATTTGTAGCTTTTTTTTTTAATTTCCAACGTTCCGGGCAATTTACAGCACCCTGATATCAGAGGGGCGAGGAACGGGTTGCCGAGTGTTTCCCGTCCTGATATCATTGTTAACCCACTACTACCTTCAACTGTTAAATATTTATTTTTGGTTCGATCTATGTAGAACTATCTTACAGAATCTTAGTGTAGCTTGTTAAATATTTTGTATGCCTGGGTTTCAATTTAATTTTAATAATTTATGGATTCGAAGCTGATGGTAAAATCCATCCATTTTTTTTATTAAAATTTGAATGTTTTTAGTACCAATAGCATCTACAATCAATATTGGTGTGATTCTGTGCTTTTGCGAGGATTTGTGGTTTATTAAATCTGATACAATGGCAGGGATGACGAGGGAAAATACTTTTATGCTGAAGGTAGCCCAGCTTAACTAGACATCAGGACGTTAACACTACATCCAAACCCCCCCCCCCCCCCCCCCCCCTCCGTGATAATGGCTCACAAAACAATAATACGCTAGTATTATGGATGTTGAATTAATTAAATGCGTTGAAATCCGTAAAATTAGTTTTATTCAATGTGTATTTGCGTAAATATTACATTATTTCATTCCTAATAATCATTATTACATACAATATACATTTTTCTGTAAAGTAAATGTCTTTCAACGAACATTTAAAAGTATTATGGAATAAGATTATATTTATTTTATTCTTTATTTTACGAAAATTGTGTACAAAAGGTGTCTTAATGCTTTAAGACATTCCCGACAAGCTAACCTTGAGTAGAACAGAGATATACCTATCTACCTATTATTAAAAATTAAAATTATTGTAATAATAATAATTATTGTATACCTATAATATAAGAAAACAAAACTACTCACTTATTGAAGGTATCTTCGTACTGCTTTATTTCTTTTCTGGTGAACTCGTGAAACTCCGTATAAACATTCACGAATTTATATTTAGGTTTAACCTCAAGACCCTCCTCAAGTTTTTCGTTGATCTCCTGACGTCGCGAGAGAATGCCACTTAGTTCATCCGTTGCAGACATCGTAGAAAATTACCCCGCCGAAATAAGGTAGATTAGGAGTTTTTTTTTTCGAATGCAAGACAACGTATGCGCTGCGAGGCTGTTAACTAAGCTACGACCTTACAGACACTAGCTGTGTATAGCCAAGCCGGTCCGCAGCCGACAGTCAGTGCCTCGCACTCGCTCCGCGCGTTCTCTCGCTACTAGGGTTACCAAATCTAAGTATGTTTAAGTAAATAGAGATAACGATATAAAAATATCTGTGGCGCTCACTGTAAACAATCGTAGCAAAAAAACATTAAATGGCGTGACGACCTGGTAAGATATGCAGGGAGTCGATGAACGCATGTAGCTCAGGACCGCGTTATGTGGCAAGAAAAGCTAGTGATGTTGATGAACAACCCGGCTACGATCGCCACCGGTCAACTTGTTAATTGCACGTACTAATCGCTCTTTAGCTCTCTGAAAAATTAAAGGAAGCCTGTAGCCCAGCAACACAACGTATATAGAATATTATCTTTAACTTTGTATAAATAACAAGTGGTAAAATTAAAAATTTTGTACAACCGACTTATATATAAATATATTTTATTGATGATTTTTTTTAAACCGCTCGACCAATTTCGATAAAATTTAAATAGAACCACCTTTGAAACAAAAAAATAATTTTCCAAATCGGTTCACACGTCATGGAGTAATAGAACATAAAAAAAAGATTCCGATGAATCGTAAACCTCCTCCTTTTTGAATTCGGTTGGAAAGAAAGAACGTTGTATCAGACATTTACAAATCGCGATTGTAATCAACATACAACGATTTGTCCTCTTTTAAGAATTTTAACCATAAAAGTAAGCAACAATGTTAATAAGTACTTTACTATGTTGATCTCACTTTGTTGCATAGTATACTTAAACATTGTTCTTTAAAATTTCGTTAATCCAACCTTAGGTACATAATATTATAATATTGTGTAACCAGATTTTCAAGACTGTGTATAAACGGGTAAGTAATTCAGGTTCGCAGCACTGTAAACATAAATAATTTAACACATTCACTTATTTTTAAATAACACAGCTATCTATGACTAATATAGGACAAAAATCGATTAAACGAAGCAAAATGTAAGTTGCCTTGTTTCCTAAATAATAAATATGATTTTGCAAGTAATTAAAAAAAAGATGGACTGTCCGTGTAAATACAATACTTAGCAACCCTATTCACAATCGAGTCATCGAATCGCGGGGAAGGACGACGATCGACGCGGGTATATAGTACTGGTAGTACGCTGCGCATCGCCCAGGAGCTGAACGACCTATCTAATCTTGTCGCAATCATTGAGTAGGTATAGTACATCAAAATCTATGTACCGAGATCAAATAGGTACCCTTGTCATCTGACATAACATGCTCTTGAAAGTGCTAAAATGAAGGTCACGCCCACACACTGCAGACAAAGTTATCTATCTATATTATACATATCAAAAATAAACATAAAATGAATTATTTTACTATTTGTTATTGTGTTGTATTTATTTCTATACTGTGACGTGGTCCCTCACTATTGGCCGTATAAGAAAGCTTAAGGTCGCTCAGAGAGTTATGGAGAGGGCATGATTGGAGTTTATCTGCGTGATAAACTTAGTAATAAGGATATCTACTGTAGAACCAGAGTAACCGACAGAGCCTAACGGATTAGTAAGTTGAATTGGTAATGGGCCGGTCATATAGATCGAAGAACCGAAAACTGATGAAGAAGAAAGGTAATCGGGCTACAGTCTCGTACCTATAAGTGAAGTGTAGAAGGAAGTCGATGGATGAAGGTGTGTGTTCAGCAGTGGATTGTGAAGAGCTGTAATGATGATGGTGATGATGATACGAATTGTACAAAAGCCTTAGAAACTTGGAAATTTAACGAAATTATAATATTAATGTACTTCAGACCTAATTTGGATAGGATGATGATGTACGAGTATATGTGCAAGAACATGTGACTAACTCCTCACTGTTATAGTCCGATGGGATTACCCGACACGACCGGAGAGAGCAACGATTAACGTGCTTTCCGAGGTATGGGAGTGTAACTGATGAAACGCCGCAAACTGATTTCGGGCCGCTACTGAAATTATCTTGACAGGAAAACAGATTTTAGCCCGACCCCGGGATTTAAATCCTGGAACACATGATCAGCAGTCCTTACGACCACTAGACTTAGCACTGACGCAATAAATTAATTCAAATAAATAAATGATTATAGTGAGCTTCTGATTTCAGAACGCTGATTTACCAAATGCTAATGTGTTTCTTGTGATGAATGTCCGGAAACCCTTATTACTAACTACTACCAAGTAACAAATTGTGCAATTGGATCACCAGCTTCCTTGCAGATCGGAGCATCAAGGCCGTTGTAGACGGTGCATGCTCCGACTACAAGCCTATTAACGCTGGTGTTCCACAAGGCTGTGTGCTATCACCAACGCTGTTTCCCGGCACACCGCCTGCAACTTTACAAGGCGCAGATTCGGCCTCACATGGAATACTGTTCCCATCTCTGGGCAGGGGCTCCCCAGTACCAGCTCCTTCCACTTGACCGCATCCAGTGCAGAGTGGCTCGAATCGTCTACGACCGAGTCCTTTCCGATCGGCTCGATTCATTGGCACTGCGAAGAGATGTTGCATCCCTTTGCATTTTCTTTCGCATTTACCACGGGGAGTGCTCTGAGGAATTGTTCGGGTTAATCCCAGCTGCCAAATTTCACGAACGCACATCGCGGCAGAACTCCCGATGCCATCAACACCATCTGGATGATCGGCGGTCCACCACTGTGCGATTTAGAAGATGTTTTCTTCCTCGCGCGATTTCCCTGTGGAGTCGATTACCATCAGCGATACAAGGCCGGCAACGCATCTGCAATTCCCCTGGTTCCCCTGATGTTGCAGTTGTTCATGGGCGGCGGTAGTCACTTACCATCAGGTGAGTCGCATGCTCGTTTGCCCCCTCTCCTATAAAAAAAAAACAACTAGGGCATTTCATCTTAGTCCTCAGATGTTATAACGCATTTATATTTATATTTTATTTCTTAAATAAGGATTTAATGAAGGTGTCTCTGGGCTAAAGCTTTCACTTATACCGTCAAGTGAACTAATTTGTCACAAAAATAAAGGTGGAAGTCACCCATGATGTATCGATACGGTCTAAAATTAATTATGAATCTATATAATTTATTAATGCCTTAAATAAAGGTTAAAATTACAGACTATCCCATAGCTTCCTCTCATTTTTGGAGCAGTGAGTTCGACGCGTTGCTAAAGTGTTTCCTTACGATTTTTACTCTATCCATTGATTTTTATGTTAAACTCAATGACTCTATCGCTGAGCACATGGTAAATATGTTAAATATGAAAGTTAGATTAGTGTTTTAGATAAAGGGCAATAATACAAATTAAGTAAATAAATTTAATAAAATCTTAAAGAGAATAAGCCGTTTACTGAATACTTTTTTGAAACTTGTTGCATAAAATCAATATCGAGTCAGAAGAGGTCACATCTTCCACGAATTGTAGCGCCAGCATGAAAGACAGATGATCGGTTTATTTTGTGGGTTTTTTGCGTTCTCGTTCCTTTTGTACATTACCTAAAAGTACTAACTAATGTACAAAAGTACATTGCCTAAAAGTACGAGTAATGATATATGAACAGTATAAACAATTACATATCTATAGTGTTATAGTAGTTATGTTTTATTTAAAACAAACTCGATGCCTTTCAATATTTTTAAACATATACATACACGCATCAGAAGTTCCTGGTTCTTTGTCAAGCAATTATATTATAAATTATTATCGTCAATGAGTCACGCACATTCGCATTGTTGTTTTTACTTTGTCAAATATCTATAAAGTGAGCGATTACACAGATAAAATATACCTTTACATGTTGTAAGAGTTGAAATCCTTGATTGCCATTGTCGTCCATTTTAAAATATTTAATGTATTTTATGTAACATAAAAGATTGTGTGATGGTATAATATAATCCATCAGCACAACTTGTCCGGTAGGTGTCGTAAGTGTCAACTATGAGAACCCTAAAATATCTAATGAACTGTTTTAAATAACTTTGTCTAATGTTAAATTTCCAGATCTAGGACGGAAAGCAGTGAGTAGCACAACGTACACCTGTCCGCCTGCCAATATAAGCAATAACTGCAAATCATCCTTAGTTGTAGCAGTAGGCCTACATGTAGCAATGTAGAGTTCACGGGCTGAAAAAGGTTATATTCAGTACCTATATTTAATTATTTTTTATTAGAGTAAGTGTGAAGGATTAGCTTTTTTTCTGAAAGGTTCCTCTAGACCAGGGATCAACAATTACTTTAATTGCTGGTCCGTATAAAACAAATATAAATCTAAAAGCTTTTAGAAAAATTTACTTCGCAAATATCCGCGTTATAAAATAAAATGATGGGTCTTACCTGAGGATGCCTCGTGTAGAGGCGAAACACGTGTCGTATTATCGTCAGTGGTGTGTCTTGCCTAGTGTAGTGGTGTTGGGAGTAGCGGTGCTGGGATTAGTGGTGACGGGGATAGTGCACGCAATTGAGGGAGGGCGGGAGGTGCTCTTCATACTAGGTAAGACACATCATTTTATTTTATAACGCGGATATTTGCGAAGTAAATTTCTCTAAAAGCTTTTATATAATGGATTTCCGCAAAGTAACGCCTGATTCTATTAATTATAAATATAAATCTATCGCGGTCCGTATGCTAGACGATGACTAGCAAGTACGAGTAGTAACCGAGATTTAAACTGTCAATTTTTTTATAGGATAAGGGTGACAAACGAACACACAGTCCACCTGATGGTAAGTGGTTGCTGTGGCCCATAGACATCTACATCTATCCTCTATTATAAATCATAATGCAGATGCGTTTTCACCCGTGAGGACTAGAATGGAATGCCTCTTTTCCAGTAAAAAGGGCCTCCGGCCACCTGCACTCACCAAGCGAAACGCAGAGGTAAACCTCTACTTTACGCTGGTATTCTGTGAGGTCGTGGTACCACTCCGATTCGAGCCGGCCCATCCATGCGACAGCAAAAGCTGCCGCGTGGCTCTACCACTGTTAAAATTAACCAGCGGGACCCTAGTACTAAGCCTCCGCTGTCCGTCCGTCCGTCTGTCTGTCAGCGCGCTGTATCTCATGATCCGTAATAGGTAGGTAGACAGTTGATTTTTTACAGAATGTGTGTGTCTGTTGCCGCTATAACAACAAATAATAAAAATAAAAAGGAGGGAGGTCCCGTATTAGAAACGTATATTACGATGGGACGGAACCATTCATGCGCGAGTCCGACTCGCACTTGGCAGGTTATTTATTCGCTATCCTGTCGTAATATTATATCATGGAGTCATAACTTCTAAAGGTTTTGACTAACAATTAAATCTTAAGAGTGTATTCTTTCGATATAAAAAAGTAAAGTTATATTCGATGTAATATACGAGTCACTACTGCTGGGCACAGGCCTCCTCGCATTTCTAAGACGGTTATGGAACAATTAGTCCACTGCGCTGCCCCAGGACTCGTTGGTGGACTTCAAGGGTCTAAAACTTATATATTTTTAATTACTTAGACATGAGCTTTTCACACGATATTTTCCTTTACTTCAGCACTGCAAAATTGCAATGAACAGTTTAATAGTTGCCGGCGGGGTTAAACCTGGGTTTCTAGCGAACTGTAAAAATTAACGGCGATTGTTTACCCATTGAGAGTTACCACGGCTCACAGCTTTCGACATTGTGATATACTTACGCAATGAATGCATATCGAATAGGTTTTTTTTTTTAGTTTTTCTTGGAAGTTGATTTGCGATTTATTTTATAAATATTGTACTTGTTTTGCTTTACAAATGCTTGGGAAAATACATACAACCGGAAAGAAACTAAGAGCGTAAAATGTGTAAATTAATGATGTATGATATATTTGTTCATTTATTCAATTGATATTTTTGTTTCCTGAAGAAAAAGCAAATTTTAAAATACTGGAAGTCTCTGCCAAGGTGCTACAACCCAGCTACTGCGTCTCAGGACCGCCAAAGCCTGCAATCCTCTTAAATGCCCTTGAGTCTCTACGTTTATGCTGAGCTTCTATAGCGCAATGCCACTGAGGCTTCAATTAATTATGGATTCAAACTCACTCACCATTTTAAGCCGACTTCAAAACAAAAGGTTCTAAATTCGAATGTTGTTTTTGTCGGAACCTCGAGATTTTTGTGAGTGAGAAAGGCAAGTTACATAAAACATAATATAAAGTCAGACATTATTATTAAGAAACTATATATAGTCCTCCTCATCGATTTCGATGACGGCGACCCTAGAAATTAGGATATTTTCCTATCATGAGCCCTGATATGGCTTGCTAGGCCGAACTTGGTCTTAAAAGCTCTTTGACATGCGTGGCAGTAGAGTTGTCCAGCCGAGTTGTAGGTGTATGTGTAGGAGGGCCTAGCTCTCTCTTTGCGCAGTTGGCGTTTTGCGTCTAAAATCTTGAGGCGGCTTTCTTCGAATGATTTTACACTTTTGAAGATGATCGACCGCCAAGATGACCTTTCTGCTGCAAGCTCCTCCCAACACGCGGGGTCGATAGTGCAAGCGTTAAGGTGTCTTTTGAACACATCTTTATAGCGCAAATGCTGGCCACCGTGCTTTCGTTTACCTTCCGCCATCTCTGAGTAGAAAACAGCTTTTGGTAAACGTCGGTCATCCATGCGAAGGACATGCCCACACCAAGTACATCCCAGAGCGACGCAGAACCTCAGAGTTAGGAACATGGTCCTGCCACTTGATCTTTAATAGAGTCCTTAGACACCTTAGGTGGAAAGAGTGAAGTTTCTTTATGTCTAATTTGTTAAGGCATTGTATCTCTGCGCTATATAGAAGGACAGGAATGATAAGTGCCTTATAGACACTAATCTTTGTCTCCAGCTTTAGATCATGGGACTTCCAGACACGATCGGTGAGTCGCCCGAAATTGGCAGCAGCATTAGCAATACGAGGTGGTATCTCCGAAGCTAAGGTGTTGTCACGCCGGATATTGCTACCAAGATATTTAAAATGAGCGACCTCATCTAGTGGTTTCCCATCTAGATTTAGCGCTGTTGGATCATCTTTACCTCCCCTGGGTGGTTGTTTTAAGACTTGAGTCTTAGAAGCACTTATTACTAGGCCAAATTGTTGACATGATTGATATAATGCGTCAACCGAGCTTTGGAGATGCACCATACTAAGAGGCACACGTCGTCAGCGTAAAGAATATCTCATATGGAGAGTCTTTCGACTTTAGATTTTGCTCTGAATCTAGAGATGTCAAACACACCTTTTTCAGTTTTGACATTAAACTGGATTTGGTTGCTACAACACTTTAATGCGTCTCTCATAACAGCCGAAAAATATATGGCGAAGAGTGTTCGCGCCATGACGCATCCTTGCTTTACTCCACTTATGATTTGGATTTCCTCAGAAAACTCGTATTCGTGCTGAACTTGCGCTTTGATACCAACATAGAATTGGTGAATTAGGTTGACGAACTTCTTTGGATATCCAATTTTTTTTTAGAACGAGCCAAAATGGCTTGCGTGGAACTATCAAATGCTTTCTCAAAATCGACAAAGCACATGTAGAGGGGCCGTTGATGTTCAAGGCTTTTCTCCTGGAGTTGTCTTACTACAGCAATAGCGTCAATGGTGCCTCTGCTTGGACGGAAACCACATTGACTCTCTGGTAGGTATTGTTCTGCTACCTCACTTAGGCGGGCTTTAATTATGTGCCCGAGAATTTTACCGGCGCTGGAAAGAAGCGATATGCCTCGGTAAGAGCTGCAATCGGAAACATCCCCCTTCCCTTTGTACAGCTTACAAATAACCGCATCCTTCCAGTCCTGGGGCACCTCTTCACTATCCTACACTCTTAAGGCAAGATGATAAAGCCTGTTAAGAACATATTTTCCGCTGTATTTATATATTTCGGCTGGAAGTTGGTCCATTCCGGGTGTTCTTAAGTTTTGAGACGCTTGACTGCCTTTACGAACTCATCGAAAGTTTCACCAACTTTCGATGAGTACATCTAGATGTTGGCAAACCGACAGTTCTTCAAGCGAGTTTATATAGGACAGGTTAGCACCGAGCGCACTGGGATTCAAAACATTAAAATGTTCTGTCCACCGTTTTATTACATCATTTTTATCTGTAACTCGATGTTGCTTGTCCCTTGAGTACTCTGGGGCTGATTTTCTGACTCGCGGACCAAAAATCGTTTCAATGCCTTCGAAGTATGTGCCAGTTTGTTGGTGAGTATCGGTGTACTTTTTCCTTCCACCACTTATCCTGCAGTTCACGAACCTTAGATCTAAGTTGGTGTTGAGTTAAGAAACTATAATATTAAGTTAGAGTGAGGCAAATATAAAATATATACAACGCGAAGGATATTTTCGCGATTACGTCAATACTCGTCATACCCGTAAATAAAATTTAATTACTAAACTCTTTTTACTAATTAAATTACACCCTTTCAACTTCCATTGCACATTACAAGTTCTATGCAGGGTTGCCTATTTCATATTATTCCATTGTCCACATGTACCTAAGCTATGTATTATATTGTTGCTTTAAAATGGAAAGAATAACGCGGATAATATTATGTATTTTATCCGTGACCTATTAACATTGCGATACACTATTTGACGCGCATGTAGGTATCTTTCTGACAATGTGCTTTTTATATCATTTATATGTAAGTATAATATGATTCCTAGATACGATTTCATGCGACAAAACGTTGGAATCTTAATTTTTAGGCCCTAGCAGAGCATACCTGCGCGCTTCGCGCTTAAGGCATGCAATATACTTTCGTACCATATATAGCCTCACCACAAATATAAATAGAAAAAACCTAGACAACGTTTCTTCTGAAATCTATAAATTGCAATTAATAAAATCATCCTACAAAATGAATTGTTCAAAAAAAAGGTTTATGTGAAAATTTTATGTATATTAAAGGGGGCAAACAAGGATGCGGCTCAGCTGATGGTAAGTGACTACCACCGCCCATGAATAACTGTAACACCAGGGGAATTTCATTACATATACGTTGATACATACACATACATAGATTTACGCCTGCAAGCCCAGCAATATCCAGAGCAGCGAGCTTTTCGAATTTCGAACCACGCTTATCTAAAAAAGATATGGGTGTAGATGGAAAATTATGATATAGATGGCTATAGTTAGCTAGCCCATTACCTACACAATCACAAATCCTAGTCGCCTTTTACATGCTAGGAAATTATCACAGTTGACATTTTTTTTTGCCTAAGTCCCATATATACATGGTTTATGAAGTTTATAAAGCCTATAAGTCCCAGACCAACATGGGACTGGAAGTTTATTTGTGATCGAATACTTCATAATATGGAGTAATTAATCTATTTGATTATATTGTCAATAAATCAAGTTACTAAACTATAATATAGGCCTCATATTTTAAGCCGATGTATATTTTAGGTATTTTTCTGGGTGATTGATGACCATTCGTCCATAAGAAACAGTACAATTAGATTTCACTCTATGTTCGCAGACGGAATTGTTTTGCATCGAATATTCAAAGGGGACGTGGGGTACTCAGACTAGCTAAGGATGTAGCTATGCTGGATAGGTATTCTGTATTTTGTAAGATGGCCTTAACAGATTCATCGTGACATCTTTTTATAGGGAAATGCCTATCTACGCATACCCTCCTAGCGGGAGAAACGACGGGTCATGTCTAAACTCACACTCGAACCGACTAAAATACTATTGTGATTTATATTCATTGCAATGCAGGATGTCAAGCCAACGTTTTCATGCACATATATACGTGGTAGAGCCATGCTACAGCTATATTAATAGTATAGTTGTAGCACGAATGGGTCGGCTCAACCGGGGAAGGACCACGCTCTCACAGAATACCAGCGTAAAATAGCAGCCTAACGCTGCTGTGTTTCGTATGGTGAGTGTAGAGAACCGGAGACCCTTTTTACTGGAAAAGAGACATTCTATCTTAGTCCTCACGGCTGACAACACATCTGCACTTTAATTCGCAAACGAAGATAGATGTAGACGTCTATGGGCCGCAGCAACCACTTACCATCAGGTGGACTGTGTGCTCGTTTGTCACCCTTATTCTATAAAAAAAAAAACTTAAATAGAGTAGCAGGTGTGAACGTATACCTCAATTTCCTATCCCTACTTAATCTTGTCTAGTTGTCGTAAGCGTGACTGCTGAACATGTGGTTTCGAGTTTGAATCCAGTATCGAGCCGAAAGCCGTATTTCAGCCCCGTGCTTAATAAAGCGAGTAAAAGCGTTAGTTCTGCGCTCGATCTGTCTTTTGACTGTGAGGAGTGCACTTGTATTTGCGCACACACTTGTGCACTGTAATTTTGTCCTGCGCAGATGGCTAGTCTTCGTTGATACTGGCCTGTGACCTAAATTCGGTCTGGAGGACATAATTATTCTGATAGTTGTCAACTTCATTAACGTAACCAGTCGAATGATGGATTATGGGACTCCTCGTTGCCGGTACAAAACAGCAAATAATTTAATTGTTAAAATATTTGTGATGGAAACTCATCGCCGTAAATGTCATAACTTACAATCAAAGAATTTCAACTAAGAAAAAAAGTGTGTATGTATATAAAAAATAATCATGGATATTTGTGACACTTTTTCTTAATTGGATTTTGCTTAATATAATGAAAATGACAAAAATTTTAGGGGAGCCTCCTTAAATTTTTGATTTATTTTTATTTTATTATTTGTTGTTATAGCGACACAGTAGTACACATTCTGTGAAAATTTCAACTGTCTACCTGTTACGCACCATGAGATACAGCCTGCTGACAGACAGACGGATGGACAGTGGAGGCTTAGTAATAGGGTTCCGTTGGTTACCCTTCGGGTACGGAACCCTAAAAATTAGGGAGAAAAAACTTTTTTGTGCTTAACATTTTTTACATAAATGCTTAGGAAAGGCTATAACGTTAGTTATAATCAATACTTAGTATTGTCCCCTCTATCTTTTCGAACTGCTTCCAGTCTTCTTGACATATTCATATCTCCTAATCAAATTATCAATAAAATCTTGAAAGATTGCTTTCCATTTTTCCTGTAATGTCTCACAAATTAGCCGGGGCAGGATTTCTTTTCTTAATTTGTCTGCCAAGCTTATCCCATTAATGCTCTATAGAATTCATGTCGGGCAAGCGTGCTGACCACCCAGTAGCATTGATTTCAACATCTCGAAGGTATTCGACAACTACAGTCGCAGTAGGGGGGCGCACATTATCCGTGATCAAAAACAAATTTATCACCTATAAAAAGGGCAAATGGCACTACAATTTCTTCCGAAATCTCAGTTACATATATCGTGCCGCTGTTAGTGATCCATTTGCAATGACGTAAAGTCCCGTACGTTGTAAGAACGGGGCCCCTGGCAGGGAAGTTTGAAATTATTCCGGGCGATTTCAGTCTTTTCACAGTTTTTGTACTTACTGTTACCCTTCGAACTTCTTGGAGCTTCGTTCTTAACCCAGAAAAAGTTTATATTCGATTGCTAAGCACGCTGGTAATGATGAACCGGACATCTCTGGCCACAGTTTTCTGTTTACGTCCGTGTCCTGCGAGTCTCGTATACTGTCCGGTCTACCATTACCTCGTGACAACTCGGTGTACCAC